AAGCAGTTCTCCTGCCTCAGCCTCCCGAGTAGCTGGATTACAGGCACCCGCTACCACGCCTGGCTAATTTTTGTATTTTTAGTAGAGACGGGGTTTCTCCATGTTAGTCTTGAACTCCTGACCTCAGGTGATCCACCTGCCTCGGCCTTCCAAACTGCTGGCATTGCAGGTGTGAGCCACCGCACCCAGCCGCCAAGTCTTTTATTACTAAATGTAAGACATTTTACTCTGCCATATTGCAGGAAAGTTTCTGAATGTTCATTCCCAATTTCGATACCTGTGCCTTTATGGGCCAAGCATCAGTTTGCAGTTTATACTTGGAGTAATAGTGGTCTTTTTTCCCCTTTCTGCTACTTCTAGAGACCTTATATTAGGTCCTTTAAAGCTAGTTATTGTTTTCACAGAAAGTCATGCACTTTTGCACCTGTATGCCGTGGTTCTTCAGTTGTGATCTCTGGTCTGGGAGCATCACAGGGTCACCAGAGAACTTGCTAGAAATGCAGATTTTCAGGGCCTACCTCAGACCTACTGAATCAGAAACTCAGGGTGGGACTCTGCAATTTCTGGTATAACAAGCCCTACAGGTGATTCTGATGCATGCTAAAGTTTGAGAACCACTAACCTAGGGTAGCCTTATGTATTACTCAAACCAGGACACTTTTATTTTTTTATTTTTTTGGAGACAGAGTCTCTTTCTGTCACCTAGGCTGGAGTGCGGTGGCATGATTTCGGTTCACTGAAACCTCCGTTTCCTGGATTCAAGCAATTCTTCTGCCTCAGCCTCCCAAGTGGCCGGGACTGCAGGCATGTGCCACCACGCCTGGCAGAGTTTTGTATTTTTAGTAGAGACACGGTTTCGTCATATTGGCCAGACTGGTCTCCAACTCCTGACCTCAAGTGATCCGTCCGCTTCGGCTTTCCGAAGCATTGGGATTACAGGCATGAGCCGCTGCGCCAGGCCTAAACCGAGACACTTTGGAGAGCGAAGAGACTGAAATACAGCACTATTAATAATGATGCTGGGTAAAGTGCGACTTGAGGCTGTCAAGAGCAAACGAGGACTGATGGTCACTCTACTTTTGCTATTTTACTTTATTTTATTTATTTATTTTTTTGAGATGGAGTCTCGCTCTGTCACCCAGGCTGGAGTGCGGTGGTGTGATCTCGGCTCACTGCAACCTCCATCTTCTGAGTTCAAGCAATTCTCCTGTTTCACCCTCCTGAGTAGCTGGGATTACAGGTGCCCGGCACCACACCCGGCTAATGTTTGTATTTTTAGTAGAGACAGAGTTTCTTTTTTCTTTTTTATTCCTGAGACAAGATTTTGCTCTGTTGCCCAGGCTGGAGTGCAATGGCGTGATCTTGGCTCACCACAACCTCCGCCTCCCGAGTTCAAGCAATTCTTCTGCCTCAGGCTCCCGAGTAGCTGGGATTACAGGCATGCGCCACTACCCCCAGTGGTTAAAATAGTGCTTAACTTAAATATATTTTCTTTTTATTTTGAGACAAGGTTTCTCTCTGTCACTGAGGCTGGAATGCAGTGCTGTGATCCTAGCTCATTGCAGCCTTGACCTCCCACGCTCAAGCAATGCTCCCACCTCAGCTTCCAGAGTAGCTGGGATAGGTGTGTGCCACCACAGTTGGGCTAATTTTAAAAAATTTTTATAGAGACAGGGTCTCC